ATCTCCAGCTATGTACTTAATGCTAGCCTAACGAATGGACACCAAGAATATTTTTTAAATTCAAACTCTGAACCTTTTCAAATGCAGTGTCTAGCTAGGTATTTATTAAAATCAAAGATCCAAATTTCAAAAAGTTTCCAAAATAAAACAGTCTATATATTTATATTAAAGGTCGTTACTTAAGTGTATCAATTATTATTCAATAAGGAGTTTAAACTCTCCTACGATTTAAATTGCTAAGGGTAATCACTAAAAATTTTCAAATATCTGTCAAAATAACAGTCTTATGCTATCTGAAAACATTTTAATAGTTTAAAGCTCACCTACATGTACGATTTAAATTGCTTAGGGATATCCAACAGATCTTTTTTTTTTTTAATAAATACTAAAAATTTGCAAATATCTGTCAAAATTGCAGTCGTGTGCCACCTTAAGGAATTTTAATAATACATGTTTAAAAGGTCACATGTCCGAAAATATATATACAAAAATATGTTTAAATCTAAAAATACATATTTGACAATATGACTTTTTATTTTAAAATAATGGAGAACTTTTTAAATTGGTCTTGGTGGAATAAAATTTAGGGGAAATTAGCTCCACCGCTTTCCATCTTAATATTGATTTTTATTTTATCAACGCCTGACTTTAATAAAGTTTCTGACCCCAACTTATAACTGTAATGTAAAATCTGGCAGATATTTTCACATCCGTAAGAACAAATGTTTCTTAGTAGGGTGCATTTTCTAATAAAGGATCAAAGGATGCACATGGTATTCTATTATCAAACTTTCACTACATCAGGATCGTGGCGTTCCTTATCAATTAGCTTAATGGGGCGTGTTAAATTATTACATAATAATTTGAACTCTTGACAGGCGCTTATCTTTGAAATTAAGAAAATCGACATTATCTAAACAATGTAAAGTTTTTCTATATATTTACCCATGTAGATGGGTATTTAGATAATAAATGATATAAATGTACATGCATGATACTATATATAAATCGTACACTTTTTCTCTTACTTTTATTTATGTTTGCACCCTGTATTAATAAACTAAAAGGAAATATGTCTACCTAGCTGAAAAAGCTTACAAGAAAGGCGATGAAAAAACAAATAAATTATATTCTAATATATGAGTTAACCATTTGTTGGAGGCAAATACATTTTATAATGTCATAACGTATTCTACAGTATACAGGTTTAGGCAAGGAAAACATTTTTTTGTATTGATCCTTTATAGAATTAAAAAAAAACGCATAATAGTTTTTAATTGTTTGTTTATATTTTACTATTTTTCGAAACATATTTCATCAGAGATATGAACCTGAATAATTAAATCATGAATAAATCCTTGCTGAACCGTTTTGTGTTTGCATACATGTACATTCTTGTGATGACAGGTAAGAGATGTACTACGAATCAGATGTGGATACAAAAATATTCCATAGATTTTTTAGTGTACATTTTTTCTCTTGCAATCCAATAAAGATTTTTTACTTTTTTACTCAAGTATTCCCATTTTAAACTTCCAACACAAATTGAAAGAATTTTTCCAATTTTGCTAAGCCAACGAAGATACAGTTATCTTGCTTTAGGGAGGGAAAAGTCATACTTGATAAACAACCCGAAGGGTTTTTTTTCGTTAGAAATATTGTCCTCCTTGGACTTCTCTCGTTCCGGCAGTAAAATCCTTGCTTCAGTCGGGGGCTTCCATTTGGCTGTTTGGGATACATAAGTATAGGTAGTCGTGTCCTTCCTGAACACACATGAACTATTTGCCACTGAACATTAAGCAATTAACAATAAATGCAGTTGGTGACTTCCTCGAACGCATCGATCTATCGCATAAAACTCGAAACAAAGAATACCACAGTTAAGTTTGTCTCTCATCTTGACTTATACATCTAGAAATTGAACATGATGGTCGATTTCAGACAAAACTTGACATAAAAAAGATGATTCTAACTACCTTATTTTTAATTTCTATGCAACAGTATCCCAGCAGCTCTCGTGTATAGCTTTCTTTTGATACGATATTTCAGAGCGTGTTTGTCCTATCATGATTTTTTTATAGATTTATTGCTGTTTATTAACGTCCAGTAGCAAACGTTTCATGCATGTTCAGGACGAGACAAATAAAAAATGAATACCGTGAATAGTTAGGTCCTGCAATAGGGGGTCGACCGGGATGACGCTGGAAATTTGGAATGTCAATTGAAAATGTTAGTATGGAAAAAGGGACAGAAATTAAGCCTTGCAACTGGCCAACGCCCGTCCTCTCACAGATTTGTTGCAAGATTTCATACCATGAAAAGAGCACCTGCATCGGAGTTACGTTCTCATTCTGACCGGACGTGGCTGCGAATTTATACATCCCACACAGCCCAACGGACGCCTTTATTTTGGATACGGTTTTCTGCCATCGAAAGAAGATCAAGGGGTGATCACGTTTCTAGACCCCTGTCAACCCATGGGGTCTTCTTGATAATTAAAAGGAAGCTTTTTACCCATGGGTTTCACGTGATATAGTTACAGTTATCCTTTCGAAAAAGTTACGGACGCCATCACGTGTTGGTTACAGTTCAGTAATATATGTGTCACAGATTACCACCGATATGTTCATTAGAGTATTGTCTTGATCACAACTCGTCCTGTTTTCCTCGAATGTTACATCACGGAATGAGACTTTTTATCGAATTTGTTCATAAATGAACAACACGACGGGTGTCATATGTGAAGCATGATTTGCTTATCCTGAAAGATCCGGAACAGTTTTAGTTCATTTCATTGAAGCGCATCGATAACTTTTATACGTATTGTTAGTTGAAGTTAATGTGAATTTATGGTACAAAATCGTTTCTGTCGATAAAAATTGCAAAACTGTTGATGGGCCATGATAATGTTGCCTTGTCGGGGCCTTTTATTGCCGACTATGGGTTTTTCTCATTGTTGAAGGACGTACGGTTGCCTATAATTGTTTAAATCCACTTCATATGAACTTTAATGGATAGTAGTCTCATTGATAAGCATACCACATCTCCTTGATTTTATATTGTGTTCATCGTTAAGTTAATAAATTTTCTTGGAGAATATGTTTTGATGACAGTTATGATTTGTATCCTTCATTCTCCGTCCGAATACTTTCCTAGCAACATAAAAAGAAGCAAGGGCATGCGATAAAGAACAAGGCAGAAAAAAACTATTTTAATATACGGCACAGAGGTCACGTTTACATTGCTGGCATCTTTTCCTGAATAAGTTAAACAATATTAATGTCTTTATATTTCAAGCATTATATGTGCTAGCTCATACAATAATTTATATGGTTTGATACTGACCCCTAATCCCCCTTTACGGATTTATCCCCCTATTGAATTTTACAAATACTTTCTTGATCCGTAGGGGGTCAGTACCCATGATGCTGGCAGATCTGCATAATACCAATAATTTAATTGATGAAGAATTTTAATATGAATATATTGATACATATATAGATAATTTTTATATTTGATAATATAAAAGTAATGCATCTTAGGATGACCATCAATGGCTTAAACTGCAGAAACACTAAAATAGTGTCGGCCCATATTAGGCTATATGGGATGTGTGGTTTATAGGCGTTTTATATTAACAAAAAGAGAAAATATCAGCCTATCAAAAGCTGTTAATTAACGTAATTTTAAACTTCGGTGGAGATCACATGTTCATTTGATATTCCGTGCATCCGAGTGGTGGGATTAAATCTTTCACCTAAATATCGAAGAACTATAGATATGGGGGTTTTAAAAAGACATTATTTGGAAATCTTTTTGGCAGCTGTATATGTACAAAAAGGGGGGTTTAACTGAAAAAGGTCTGATACTGCATATATTTACATAGGTTTTTATTTGCAATTCGGCAGTATTCAAGTGTTTTATAAGTCAGGTTCAAGAATGTAATTTGAATTAAGATGTCGGATAGGAGAAGTTAAAGTACATTGTTTATCAGGGGCGGATTCACAAGGCGCGCGCCTCCTAGCGACAGAAAAAAAATGTAATTTATAGGTGAAATTACAGCCATTTTTTTTTGTTAAAGTTTTGTCCTCCTACTCTCATTCTCAGGGGCACCCCAACTCCCCCTTTACATCAAATCCTGAATCTGAGCCTGTTCTTTGTGCTTATTTGTGAACCTAAACATCTATATATATCTGAAAGACACTGGAAGCTTGAGATTGAATTAATATTTTTTTCTGATTTCTGTCCATTGATAAGTGCTAATAATGTTAAATGTTCAAATGAATTATCACAAATTAACACAAATGCCGTATTGAATGGCAATGAATCCGCAGTCAAACCACTTGAGGTAGGCAGTTTGACATCCGAATTCAACTAACATTAGATTTGAACCTAGAATAAATATACGTGATGACGCAAATGCATGATATTTTTTTCCAGAATATCAGTGTGTATGCTAACCATTTACTATTTCTTGCGCAAGAAAAGTACGTGCATGCATAAACATTGATTTTACTCGTCGAAGGTGATTTTTTTTTTTGCATTTCTTATTTATGTTTTTTGTGTACTATTGTTTGTCTAGATCTGTTGGTCTTTTTCTTCCGTTTTGCAGAAATTGAGAATTGGAATAGGATTATGTCTTTGTATATAAAACACGGAGAAATAATGATGTACACTCCCAAGTAATAAATAAAATAGTCAAGCCTTAAAAGGTAGTTTCAAATGGTAATTGTATACAATTTTCTTTTTACAACTAAAATCCAGCAATGATTTTAATTGACTTGTACACGAATCTACACACAATAACATATTTTCAATAAAGGTATTTTTTTTATTACCTCATTCTATCAACAGTCAATTATTTCAAATCAAAAGCAAAAATAAATTCAGCAAAAAATATTTGGTGACCAGTCAGTTGTCTCGGGTTCACGTGTTGCTTTTCTTTTTTTTAAAGAAAGCAACTTGTTTAAATATGATAGGTAGTTTTTCGTGATGTTTTTTCTTATACATAAACACGTGTCTATGGAAGATGAAAGCCTTCATCTACGTTACTATTCATCTGGCGAAGATGAATACAGCAGCAAAAGTCAGAAAGGGGAAACAACAACCAATGATAATATGGCAGGAGCATGTGGCGGGCCAGAGGATATACCCGATGAGTCCATGAGTGCTTTGGAATGCAGTAGAGTAACAGTCAGTCGCTTTAGTACACCGTCAATTCGAAGTTATTCTAATACCCCAACCAATTTGGCAAGTACACCATGTTCCAGCAGGACAATCATTCCGACTTTCCTTAGAACACCTTTATCCGGAGAAGTTCGTTCTAGCAGGTCACTTACTTCTGTCACAGAGGGTATATCAAGAAAAGAACAGACTACAGCATCAGCAAACAAGGTAAAACTTTAAAAAATCGATGAAAATTCAAACAATGAAGTGTTTCTTAAGTGTAATATGTTATGATTTAATTTTGTCTATCTGTCTGCTTACAACGGATACGTTTTTGTCAAAGGTACTTGGGGACAGGACACTTTTTTTTAGCCAGCCCCCTTTTTCCTAAAATTTGTTATTTTTTGTTTTCTGTTAATTTCAATTATTTTCGCATTTCTTTTTTGTATTACATGAACATAAATATACTAGAAATAACTTGTATATTTGCTATTATCTATCAATTCCAAGTTTACTTTAGAACTGATATAAAATTGCAAATACAAGTTATTTCTAGTATATTTATGTTCATATGAAATAGAAAAATGCGAGAAAAAAATGAAATTATAAGAAAACCAAAAAAATAACAAATTACAGAAAAAAGGGGGAGGGCTGAAACAAAAGTGTCCTGTTCCCAAGTACCAAGGGTTTTTGTTAGAACAGTGTTAGACAAGTGACCATCATAAAACACATTGAAAAAAAAATATTTAAAAACAAGATGTTTTTGTGTGTAAAAAACTTTTTCCTTTAAAGGTTCAAACATTTTTTTCACATTTCCGGGACAAATATTCTTTCGTGTATTTTTTGTTTTAAAAACTAGCCATTTATAACGTCGTTTTCTTTAACAGTGATGCCTCATTTATCATTAAAGCCCTTTATTATTAAAGCTGTATATATCAATACAATGACTGTCACATAATTGCTTTAGTAAATGTTTATTAAAGTTAAAATAACCGAATCAAAATAAAACTTTCGTAATCGTATACATTTGTATATCAAGTCGAGAATTGTTGCAAATGTAACTAATATTAGTTTTATGGCAGTTACCTCAGCTAATAGCTAGATGATGTGTCTGCACGTCTGCTTAAATAGAATTGTTTGCATAAAACGGCCAAAAGAAAACCAAAGGAAATGTTTTGAAAATGAAATGACATCATTAACCAAATTGGATCTTTTGTTTGTACCTAAAAGATACATAGCTTTAATACTCATTTTGTTTTTGGTTAACGATGTTCCTGTATATTTTTTTCTTAAGTTTTCATATCTCCATAGGTTTCAATCACTGCCTGATTTCGAAACCAACTGTGTGCAAAAATACAGGATAAAATGGTCATTAATTCGTTTTGCAACTAAATTCAAATTAACAATACTGACATTTGAAATCTGGACAAATCAATTATATATAGTGAATGAAAGTATATATTTATCTACTTCATTGATATAAGATGTGATGACGCATTCCTGGTAATTGAATCTGCTCAGAAAATAATTCCCCACGAAGATAAAAAGAAACGAAATCTCTTTTACAACTTGTCCTGTATATGCTTAGAAATAGTTTAATCTATCAGATTAAAGAAAAATAAAAGCGCCTCTGAGTCGGACAATTGACATATAGATATACTTTGTCTTATATTATGGTGAAATACTGCTTCTATCAATTAATGAATAAATAAAAAAGCATTTAAGGTTAAACATCTTAAAACAATTTCTTTATTATCTTTGAAAAGTAAATGATAACAAATGTACAGGTGTTAGTTATCCTTATTCTTTTGTGATCTATATTTTGTCGGTTAGCTGTTCTTTTTTCCGTTTTAATAATTATGAACTTTCAATTCTTAGTTAAATAAAAAATGAATAAATTGATTAATGATTTTTGAAACAATGTTTAAAAAAAAGAAGTCATATCATATAACTGAATTAATAAAAAGCAATAACACTTCAAGCCGATTTTTTTAACAGTAATTTTCTATTTTCAGTAAAACCACTTTTCTTTATGTTACCACGCTTCTTTTTTCTCTTCATGAACACATGTTTTATCATCGTCTCTGATTATTATTGTGCACACATGTTCATTATTTTCAAAATTAGCAAAACATTTAAAAGAAAATGGAGACCAATCATTCGCGCTTTTACCATATTGTCTAAATAAACTGTTGCAAAATCAATAGTTGTACAATATTTATCAATCAGTCAATTGATCTTTCGATGAGTAACTAGAACTAATAATTTTTATTTGTCAATTTCAAATCAAAACGGAGGCAAAAGCCGCTAATCGGATTTTCGTTTACGCGTGTTCTTTATCTATGATTATTGTAAAATTGAAACTATGGTCACAATTGAAAATGTTCTTCATTTTTACCATATATTTCATTAAAATTGTGATGTTATCCGTTATTTTGCATTATATTTATGTCACTGATTGTGACCAAACTGATCACATTGGTTTATAGTAAATTAATCTCCTGTTGAATCTTAACATTTCCATCTGTTCTAATGGGACCATTTAAAAGCTCTGCTCCGAAAGAAGAAACAACAGTTTCACATTTTCAGCTATTATACTATAGTTTTGAATTACCAAAAATATTACTCATTCACTTAAAATCTCATTTATTTCATCGTGTATCTAAAATTTCACCTGATATATATATATATATGAATCGACGATTTGCCGTTTGGAAATATGATATCGTGACAAAAAATCTAAAAATGAGTACACAAATATCATACTTTATATACGAAATGTACTATATGAAAAGCACTTTAACCTTTACAAATTTGTATTGCGTTTTGAATAATAAGTTACTGTACTATAATGATTAATTATGGATAAGGACAAATTATTATGTCCTATCTAATCAGCATATCTTATATGATATTTTCACCAAAACAGTATTTTTAAGCTGAGTTTTCAACTTTTATTTCTCAGTTTACAACTGAATTATTATATTTAAAATTGGGAATGGAAATGGAGAATATGTCAAAGAGACAACAAACCGACCAAAGAGCAGACAACAGCCGAAGACCACCAATGGGTCTTCAGCGCAGCGAGAAAATCCCGCACCCGGAGGTGGTCCTTAGCTTGCCCCTAAATAAAATTGTGTACTAGTTCAGTGAAAATGGACGTCACACTAAACTCCAAAACATATAAATGAACTAAAATTAAAAAAACATACAAGACTAACAAAGGCTAAAGGCTCCTGACTTGGGACAGGCGCAAAATTGTTGATTATATATTAATCGCCAGGTAAATTTTATATGTTGCTACAATCATGTCCTGTTGTTCGGAGCGCCTTAAGTGCCATATACATATACAATTTTCGTTCGCCCGAGATTTAATCTGGTGCACATCAGTTTGAAAAATCGTGCGCACCGCTTTGAAACTAGTGCGCATGAAAAGTCGTGTGTACCATTTATGAAAGTCGTTCGCATTATTTTAAAAGTCCTACACACCATTTTTGAAAATTTCACACCAGTTTTTGAAATGACATGCGCATTAGTTTCGATGTCTTGCATACGATTTTTGAATTTCGTGCGCACCAGTTTTAAAATCCAATGATTTGTATTTTAACAACTAAAGTTTCACGTGTCGGGTGAAAATTGCAGGATAAAAACAGTATATGTACATTGTCGGAAAATATAAAATGTATTTGTACTCGCTGCGAAACAGGAGAAAAGCTCGGAGAACCTCGCTTTTCGTCCTGTTTCTAAAGCTCGTACACATACATCTTATATTTTCCGACAATGTACATACATTGTATATAATATATGTTATGCTTTAAATCTGTTATAAACACTACTTGTATACATCGGTGAATGTCATAAATTTAGGTGCTTTTTTTAGGTACATATATATTCTGAATGACGGATTGATTTAATAGTCTTTTGGTTTTTAAGAAATGATGAACTTTATTGAGTTTTGTAACTCATGTATTTTAAATGGTTTAGTTATAATTGTTATTTTTAGATTGACACTTTAACAAAGAAGTCATCTAAATGAAAAGGCAACTGGTAAAAGTGCAAGAAAAACAAATTAATGTTGAAAAGAAAGTGGATATTATGATTCAAATACTACAATCAAAAACAAATGAACGAAAAAAGGGAAGCCAAAAGATTAACGTCCCTGCACAAATTGCAGTAAGTAATTATTCATTGTTCAACTTTTAATTAACCTTTTCAAAATATTGCATATTGTACATGTAGTAGCGGATTACAATTTTGTTTTCGGACTATATGTACAAAGAAGTAATTGTGGTCGGCACAAGATTCGAATACATATTGCACACTTACATTTTGTGTTTTAATTGTATAAATATTGCAAAATTTTACACACTTTGATTACATGTTGTTGTGTTTTAATTAGAACGTAATGAAGTGGTGAAGTTCATGCAATTACTTTTTCCTTTCAGCAATCAAGAAGGGATGGTTATCAGCAGGGTATTACTGAAAAGGATTTCATCTGGAGAATAAAGAACGAAACTGGCAGTATTTCAAAGTATGTATATGAAATTAAATGATTTAAAAGTTTCCTTGGAAATTGAAAAAATCTCATGGTTTGTTATTCAAACCAATGTAACTTAATATGTAATGTATGTCCACATTCATCATTAAACGATACGGTTTTAGGAAAAATGCTCGATTACTTGTGATTTACGACATTGAAACAGATTTAATTTTGATCATATGTCTACTTTGAATCATTAATTATGAAATTCTACTTATTCGAGTATAAATCTTAATTTTGTACACAGCTTTTGGGTCAATTTAAGTGAAAAGTTTGCAGGATATATATATGTGTATTTGGTAATCATAGTTCTATTCAGATTCAAACAACATTTTAGCACAAATTGATAATTTTACCGACATTTGTTACACTCTTATTTAAGGAAGCTTTGATTTACAGTAAGATTATTTTTCAATTTACCTTTTTTTAAATAATTTTACAGAGAACAAAGAGAAGTCTGGATTCATCATAGAATTTGTAAAAGGCCCAATATCCTGATGAAGTGGAGGGTGTTGTTAGAGGTTTGTAGCCCCCCCCCCCCCCCCCAAACCCCAAAAACAAAATAGTCGAAATTGCAGTTCTGCAATACAATTGCTTATCCTAGAAGGCATGTTTAACTGTCATATTAAGAATGACATCTAAAAAGTTAAAAGTAGTCAAATTCAGTTGATACTTTTTTTATTTTGGAAAAGAGTGTTACGTTACTGAATAAATCCTAGCTTATGTTAACATTACATTGATACTGTCGGCTTTTTTTTACAAGAGGGTATTTTTGTTGTGCTGTTTTAGGGAGCAACCATTTAACTTTAAGGGGGGGAGGGGGTATGGTTTTTTGTCCGAGTCAGAATTTTATTTTTTCGCCCAAAGCGCGAACATTTTTTTTTGCAAAATTTAACACTATAAGGTATGAGGGAAATCTGGATTCAGAATATTTTTTTAGGAAATAACCATACCCCCCCCCCCCCCCTTTGAAATCACATGGTCGATTCCTTGTTGCTACACACCTGTATCCTACCTCTTTTTATTTCGAAACATGACGTTCCAAATTACCATTGAATTCACTTCATATGATTTCGGACCAAGTGTTGAAATGAGTAATCCCATTACCAGCTAGGGGCCTGTTTTTCGAAAGTATCTTATGACTAAGACATGTCTTATGATGGTCTTAGGACATGTCATAGTCGTAAGATATGTTTTCGACATATCATAACTTTTGTCGTAAACCTAAGACACTAGCTCGCGACATGACTTACGATGGTCTTATGATTATCAACTAGAATTCTAATTACTTTTCATGTATAATGTACATTACAATAAAAATAATAGTTGTGTTGCTCAGTCGGCAAAATATTTAGATTTATTCTTCTCCATTTTGCATTCAAACTTTTTGAATCTCCTGCGACGTAAAATTTGGACTCCTTTTCTTATTCATGATTTTGAAAAATAAATATACATATTATTTCTTTCCTTATATATTACTTTATTTACGCATTTGCTCGGGCATATAAGCAGACACTTTCAGTAATATTTTGAAACGCCATATAATTTCCATATTATAAATAATAGCAAATGCATACTATCATATAACTTGAATAGATCTATTTTGATTTCGATCATATCACATCAAAACATTCTACCATGGAATAACCAAGTGACACTGTTTAGTCTCAAATGGAGACAAGCAATTGTATATTAAAAAAATATTTCTTTTACATTGCGTTAAGTAGATTTTTTTTTTGTAGGATGGATAAAGACAAATTTTGAATCGTTCAAAGCAAAGAAACGAAGAGACGAAACTGGTAAACAAAAAGAACATAACAGGAAAATGGCTGTGTACAGCAAGATGAGAAGAGTAAGAACTGATTTTTTTATTATGGTGAACAATTAAGATATTACAGTCAACATAAGAAGCGGATTTAGACGGGAGTTTTATTTAATATTATATACTTATATCACTCTAAACAGGGAACCCCCTTTTAACTTCATTTTCATTTTGCTTTTCACTAAATTCCTTTTGTGACGCTACAATAAAAAAAAGAAAAAGGTGACCATATCTAATGACGTCACATATATATATATACCTCATTTTGCAGATCAGTGAAAAAGTTTGTCTACGTAACGTCTAAAAATCAAAATAGAAACAGAATCCAACACCGAATCTCGTGCAATATAATAATTCTCCACTCTCGACAATTGAATTTTCAATACTCAAAAAGCTCGGCAGGCCTTCACTTGATGTAACGGTAGAATTTCTCTCTCCGTCTCTCGCCGGCCGGGCTTTTCAAGAGAGAGAGAAATTAAATGCTAAGAATTGAGTGTTCTGTTGGATAATATATTATATTCATAAATAATATACAGCATGCTTTCTGTCACAGTAATCACTAGTATTTTTTTTACAGACTGCTTTTTGCTGAGGTTATAATAATAATAAAAATGAAAATAATAATAATAATAATGATAATAATATCTTTATTGAAAGAGAGTTATTACGGCATATATGGAATCTATTTGTATGTATTCAAAATGAAATTCAAAGAATTTTGATTTGAGCTTTATTCTCTTTTTTTTTTTTTAGAAATTAAACAACAGAAAAGAGGCCATAAAAGTAAAAGTCCAGTATACCAGAGGAACAAAAAGAAAAGGGCTCGAAAAGCCTTGTGGTGCAGAACATGTCTTATGAACAAACAGATTCATAAGACGAAGGATCGTTTATCGTCAGACCTCTGCCATGGAGGTCTGACGATGTTGATAAATTAGTAAAAAAAAACTAAGCCAAAAGCATGATGATCAACTAACCAAGAGAAGCAGACGGCAGCACCATAAACGAAAGGTTGGGGCAGTTTCCTCAAGGATAAAACCAGAAGTCGTGCCAGGACATGAATGGGTGTTTAAATAGTTTAAAAATAATGTCAATGATTAAACTTTATTCGTTTTAAGTATGCAAGTTTTACCGACCAAAGTAAATGCTACATGTAATTGTTAATAATTTTTACACAATTATTTGTCCAAAACTAAAAAAACAAAAAATCTGATATATCGTTCTATTCTTATATTAACATATTTCAGTCATCACGAAATCAAATAGATGCGAACAGAAAGAGAAAAAATACATCTTCATGTCGGATGTCAACATACCGTCTTCAACAACAACAAGCGGTTCGAAGGGGAACGTTTTTCATAAAAAATAGTAAAGAAAAGTGCTTCGCGAAACAACAGTAATACTATTGTCGTAATGGGCAAAACTATTTAAAAATAACACGAACAATGTACATTTCATTGGCAAAACAAAATATAATAACTTTTTTGATTTGTAACCTAGCATCACGGAAAATAAATGTTAAAAAAATATTTTTTTATAGAATCTTCATTTTTAGATGGAAAATCTTGTTTTTTTTTATAAATATGGAAGTGATACCGAGAAAATAAGCAGTGTATTATTTGCACATAGTAGTAAAAAAAAAGAAAACAAAATGGTAATTCTTCGAAATAGTAAGAAACTTGGTATATATTAAATTTCAATGTTTTAAATATTTCTGTTGTGCGTAATTATACAATATAAACAAGAAAAAAACTAGATAGCAGTAAATTTTATCTGGTACCCTGATATAAGCAATCATACAATGCATGTATACAACAGTTGGTTTTACATTTAAAATCCTTGTTTTAGTTGTGAAGCTCTTCATTGTGTATTTTTTATATTATATTGATGTCCACGCGAGCATAATCAAATATATATTTTGAAATTAATTGCACTGATAAAACATATAGACATGTACCTGGGATCTTATATGTGAATTTTTTTTTTCTTCAATTGATTAAAAACAGTAAGCAATGAAAGGGAAACAACTCTTGTTAAAATAAGAATATTTTTCGTATCTTTAAAAATTGAAGAAATTTGTTGTTGGTTTTTAGCTTAAAGGTTTACACGTTTATAATTATTAATATTCTTATAAAAAAATAAGTATTAAGATCTTGATTTTTTTATTTTAATAAGAAAGGGGTTGTATAGAATTGGGTGCTTGTTAAACCCTCCAAATTACGTTGGATTTTATTATTCAGTTCGAATCTTTGTATTCAAAGGGAAATAACTCTTTCTATTAAAATAGTTGTTAGTTGTAATTAGGTAAGACAATCAAAACAACCACAACAAAGAGAATTCTGCAAATATGTTTCTGCTTATTATATTTAAATACTCAGTCCTTTTACGTCATGAAGCTGATATGTTTTTGTTCCTTAAAAACAGCTTTAGCAAAAACAAACAAAAATGCACAAAATTCGAGTTTTATAATTTTGTTATGTATGTAGATGGTTTTTTTTTAATTATTATAGAATGGAATGTTAGTACTTTAATTTGTCATGTATTTGTAAATTGAAAATAATGAATAAATTTAGCTAAGATTCTAGATAATTGTTTTTTTTATTCAGGATTTCGCCATAGTCTAGATCTCCATTACGGGCAGCTTTTTTTTATGAATTTCCAGTTGCTCCTCTCACTGTAATATCTTATATTTTGAGGCAATCATGAGTGTTTAATTCGAATTATGGGTTGTGGCAACTTAGGGTGTATAATTATGGCTTTGTTTGTTATACTGAAGTATGTTTGTATAAACAAATATATCCTGCATTATAATAGGGTTCGATTGTAAGAACTGTTACTGGTCATATGTGGATGAAAGCTGCAAATATACTGTTTTCTGTCGTGAATTTGCAGGTCAATTGGCATATATTTGGTGCACCAAACACGGAGATTACAAAGATTTTCGATAGTAAATGGAGTCAAAATGAGTTTAAATTTGAAGTAAATCAAGTTATTTCGCACATTAAATCTTTAAACTTGAAGTTGAATTTGATTTCAATTTGCATTAAATGAAAGTTTATCGTTGTATTAAATTTGTAACTCGATGTTGAATCAGATTTAAAACCACAGTAAACAGCTTACTGTTTGGAATATTATTGACTTAAATTTGTAGTAAATCATGTTTTACAGATTTTCTCTACATTAAATTTAATGTTGTATGTATATTAAACTTTGTTAAATTCGAAAATTACTGGACAGTAAATCAGGTGTCAATTCATGAACTTACTGCGTCCAGTAAACTATTTGTAAACTACTATTAAACATTACGTTTACTTGAACTATAAACTACCAGAAAAAAAATAAACTCGGAAATTACGACTGATTTTCAAGTAGTTTATTGATACCTTAAATTAATACTTTCATGCAGTGAAACATCTGTGTCAAATAAGTTAAGTACAAACTTCGCCTGATCAGAGATGAGATGCAAAAAATCATCTTCAATACGGAACAGTATCGTAGGAGTAGACTGAAAAGGGTGCGGCAAACTTCTGAAAGTGACGATAAAAAATAAGTAATAAAAAAACCTTCTATGGTCTTATTAGTCTAGTAGTTAGTCAATGCCCTATCTTTTTCTTTTTTTAATTGCATAAACGTTTTTAAGGTCAATAAATGAGTTGCCCCTTTGCCTCCTACTCAAATGTGGAAGTAAGACATGCAAAAACATTCGAAAATTCTGTTTTTCATGTTACCACCTAGAGTTTTGTTGAGAAAAATGAAAATTATAAATGCTGATGTCAAAGCGCTTTCCTCAACTTCCTTCCATCAGGAACGCTCAGAACCGAAAATTTGAAAGCCGAAGATAAATATTCGAAGAGCTATATGACCGTATAAGGACACAAAAAGAATATACAGCAAAACCTATTTAAGGTCCTATTATTATAGAGGAGTTGATACCCAGTCATTTATCGGCAATTTATGAAATATTTGTTATAGATGTCAGTGAAACGAGTAGCATGTGGAATGTTGAAAAAAAGTATAACAAAAATACCGAACTCAAAATATCTTCCAGTTTTATATTACTGATATTTTTAGGGGTATTCAATTTTTCAATCATCTACTATGATCAGGTAAACACAACTGAGGGGGTGGACAGGAGTAAGGAAACGAGGGGGCGGGACGCAGGTACCTTGGGGAAGAGCGGGAGTGAATAGGGATATGCTTGAAAAAGAAATTTGACCGATTTTCGTTTGCAAGTAAGGGAGATGGATGTGGGATTAGGGAAGTGGGAATCAGGGACCCTCCTGTCCACCCCTCACAATTGGATTAGCTTAACGAATCCTTACCAAACTGAATTACAAGTAGCCTCTTACCCTTCCCAAAACCACAAAGAACAGTCATACTGTCGATCGCCAGTTCGTTCTTTACCTTTATATTAATTGGTCATGTTCCAACATCTATATTAGTCGTTTTCCCATTTTTGCTCTAAAAGTTCATATTTTTGGGGCATTCAACACTCTCGATCCTACCCGATGAAGGTCATTTCAGAAACCTATGTTGAGTAAACAAAGTCAAAGAAACATCGATGATTTGTTTGTACTGAAAAATCCAAGTAATAACTTTGTATCATATATCCCTTGTTTAGTAAATATAGTTTTTATGTTGACAAATATAACCTATTATCTGTCACTCAGTTCTTTTTGAGAGGGAGAATGTAACCTTCACCAACAAAATAAGTAGCTGACTTAACATTTTACATCAACGTCATTTGGTCTCTAAAAGATAGATTGACAACCATACCACATCTCTTCTTTTTTATTTAATATTATAGAGAGGGATTTCGATTTCATTCTAATGAAAGTTTTTGATGATCACGCATGTATGCACAAAACAGAAGGTGTTTTAGAACTCACTGGCAAAAAAAAACTTACTTTATTTATTTAACGTTTGATGATCTACCCTTTTCATTCAAGAAATATCCTTACGTCACAAATTGTATGTAAAAGGATGAAGTTAAGTTAACGACAAAGAAACCCAAGGTCGCAAAAAAAAAAACAAACGACGGGTTGTATAATTGCAGATATAAATGGAATCTAGGGAAGATGTTCTTTGACTGATCGGTTGGTTACATAGCCAAATTGCCCACTTGTACCATTCTTGTATTTTCACATTCAGCATACATATCTCTAATTTGTTTCTCTTTCAGAGTAATTTTTAATGTATCATTTTTTGTTTATTTTTTAGAACTTGACATACAACCAAATAAAATATATTTATAACTTATGCTTCTCGGTTCGTGTTGCTAAATCGTTTGGTTTTCTGTAAATAAAACATCTTATTAATTTTGTGTGTCTTTAAAGTTTTCGTGATTTTTTTAACATATAATAGAAAAACAAAGGATATGGGGTATCTATCCATGACACAAAATCAGTACATGCACAACAACAACAAAAATCACACAAAAAGCAAAGGAACAGCGCTTTTATTGCTGTTCTTCGGTAAAAATATGTTTTAATTTGGCTTGTAATTTTTCATTTTGCATTGTTTCTATTTTTTTTTTTATCTAAATGAGAATAATTATTTAATTGAAAATGAATTACATACCATTCAAATAAAAAATATCCATGAAAGCTAGAAATAAATATTCAGATTAGTTTATGAAACACAAAAATTAAAGACTAGAATGTATTATTAATAATATCAATAATGATATTGATATTAATATTAATATTAATTTGAATAATAGTATGCTAAAAATAAACGACAGTATTGGTTAGTATTTTAATTTGATTCGTAAACTTGATGTCATTTCGGTATTGTACATCTATTTATAATTTACTGTTATCATATCTACCTGGGACACACTTCTTAACAACTAACATTTTAAACAACCAGAATGGCACAGGCTGCTTCTAAAACGTGCGAAATTTGTGTGTCTAGTCCTGGGCATAACTATTGCGAAGAGTGTGACCAGTTGTTTTGTGATGGTTGTAAAATATCGCATTTACGGACAAAAATGACCAAGAATCACACATTTCTAAGTGGCCCAAATATCAACCCGGAAGTTAAACTATATTGTAAAGAACATGATGAAAACTTTATATATTATTGCATAGAATGTGATACACCAGTATGTAAGATATGTGCTATTAAAAATCACAAAAAGCATGATCTATCGGAGATCAAGGAATCATTGGAAGGTATCAACGCTGAGGTAAAAACTGACATCGAAACAAAGATTAGAAAGCTCCAGTCAAAAATAGCAGAGATTGATCAAGGTACACATAGATATCAAGCTGATGTTAAGGAAGTTATCCAGGCTATAAGAGAAAAAGGAAAACGATTAAAAGAAATGATTGATATGAAAGTTGAAGGTCTTATAAATACGATGAAAGAGAAAGACACAAAGAATGTTCAAACCTTACAGTCGGTTGGCAAAGAGATAAAAATAGCTTTGGATAACGCAAAAGAGCAGCAAAAGTTCTATCAAGATACACAGGGGATAAAAGATACCACGAAAATATTACAAAAACTAAAACAAATAAAGTCACAAATGGATAAAATTGAAGAAATACAGGTTCCTATTATGCCATCAGTCAAATATGCGAAACAGAAAGTAGCAGACGGTGAAATAGAAAAACTGTTTGGGGAATTAAGATTTGGGTAAGTTAGTTCTTAGCTATAGATTTATATGAAGTGTTTAGTTCAGGAATGATTCTGGATAGTACTAAATTTCTAGTAGGATCCAGGATAGCTCATAAAACAAAAAAGACATCGTTATCAGAAATTATTTGGTTTTTGTCTCGCCTTGATGGAGGCAAAAAGCGAGACATAGGTATGCTGTTTCCGGCGTCGGCGGCGGCAGCGTCAAAAATGTATTAGTTTGTGATTAGGTCTAGTTTATGGTGAACCAAAAGTTGTATGTAATTATATTTGGTATGCAGTTGTATTAGCATTGGCATTTTTCATTTCCATGGATATTATATGGCTCCTCCCCCTTACATGCCTTAGTCATAGTCTATTGACTTTGGAATTTTGCTCAGTTTATATGTATTAGTTTGTGATTAGCTAACTTAATGGGGAACCATTAGTTGTAGGTCAATGATATGTAGTATGCA